TTTTCATTTTCTTTTGTTTTCCAGCTCGTCTTCGTGAATATTTTTCTTGTTTTCCTTGGCCTTTCCATTCTATCCATAACACTGAGCATGATCGCTTCGAACATTCATCACCAAATGCAGAAAGCCTCGTTTATTGAAAAACTCAAAGATACCGAGATGTCCGATACTTCCTCCGTAGTCGGCTCGGCCGTAGGGCTTGGTGACGAAGAAAATAGCAATGGTCATGGAAACAGAGGGCGGAGAGGGTCTGGTGACGACAGCGCAATTGCCGCAAAGGACACAAATGGCGGGAAATCTTACGGCAGCACAGAGAGCAGTCCGTGAAATATGTTGACTCAGCGTGCAATAAGAAAACAGAGAATTTGATGAAGAACTGATATTTATAGTAATGCTGATAACAAGAGATATCTATCCTTTCTTCAGTGTTGGAACGTTTAGGCTCTAATTTGAGGACAAATTTTCCCTCTGAGTCTAAGTATTTTTTGCCGTGGTGATATGTTTTAATTCTCCTAACAAAAACGAATTCATCCTTAGTTTTGACGGGGCTCGGTTGAAAATTGAAGGGACGGAGTTTAAAATATTACATATGTGACAGAAATTTAATCTACAAAAGAGAAAGAAAAAAAATAATCTAGAAACTACGAATTTTGTTTTCCTCTGAAACAGTTGATACGAACCGATTCACGTTGCGTTTCAGTGGTTTGCTGAAATTAGAACACTCTACATCAATATCTAAAATAAGTTGTTTAAAACGTGTTGCTTAATTAGCAATAACCTGATTCTCAGACGTCCGAGGTCGTTCGCGGTTCATGAAAGGCGAGGTGACCCGCCACATGTTACCTCACCTATTTGGGGTCCCACACCTCCATATAAACAGGCGCTATAAAAGTGAACAAAAACGTTAATGTTTTGGCGGGAAGAAGAGTTAGGTTCGATTTACACCAAGTGTATAAAATAAATCCTCGCGAATATGTAACCATATAAGGACTGGAGCAAATGTTCGTGATCTTAAAAGTCCTAAACTTTACATTGTACTGTAACTCCAAGTATCTTTAATATCTTCTTCTTTTTTTAAAATTTTTTGGTTACATAAACTAATGTAAATATTTTTGAGAGCGGAAGGAAAAAATGAAACGTTTGCTGAAATTTATTTTTGTACCTGAATAATGGGGAATTTAGTTAGAATTAAAGAATTCTTTCAAATTTGTTTTTCTCGGTAAGGAATATAAATCTGGATCAATAATTTAGGTATATACCGGATAACTGGATGGATACAGGTAGACAGGCTCTTAAGTGCTTTTAAAGTGATCGAGGAAATATATCTTTTAATTTACTAATAAAGGAACATAATGCTGTTTGAATCTGACCAGACGATTCCGTTTACTCAATGGGTCAGACCGAGTCAGAAAACGTTTCTGTCGTCCTTCACAGAATCTATGTCTAGTAGCTGTTTCTACTACGAAATGATTTTGAACTCGATTATTTATCTCACGGTTGTTTTTGTTTCCAATCTGAAAACACCAGGAAGTACAACGATCAGTGGGAAGTACCTGAGTATTTCCCCTCCCGGCCTCGGAGCCCAAACTAGCTTCTATTCCAGTTGTTTGGAAAGATTACCTTAAAAACCTGGATGAAGCAAAGGCTACTCATGTTATTAAAGTTGAAAGAGAAACACACAGGTGTTTCTCTCAGTTTTTGCATCTCCACGACGGAATTATGTTTAATTGAGGTATAGTTAATTAAACTGCCGCTTACTTCCGATTTGGAAAAGTTAACTTCCGCTGTTGTGCTATATAATACTCACGCGATCTTTCACCTGAAAAGGTATTCATCATGGTAAGTCTTGTTTCTAAAGGATCTTTCGTTTTCGAACTTAGAAAGGGGAGTTGCACATTACACACATCCTGCGATTTACTATAAAGGCCGCCAGTTTCTTTTAATAGCCTATTCTGGCTGGCAGGATTTTTCGTAAGGCAAGATCCATTTTATTTATAGTACAGCGTTCTTTTGCTTCCGGAATTTCATGCCTTTATTTTCAGCAGAACAAACTTTACAGGAAAAAAATATTAAAAATTTGTTCATTGGTATATACACATGTGAAAACATTAAACAAATGTACATCAACGGTTAAATAGCCCTTGGAGTAAAAATTTACAGGTATTTCACATCACTTGCGATAGTCAAGACGACATCTCAGAATTTGAAGCCGATAACTGCTTAATTCTGATTTTAAAGTATCCTAAATTTCTTATACATGTCTTTGCCGTTCTTCCTGTTAAGCAATCCTCTTACTTCGCAGGATTTACAGCAAAGATATAAATATGTTTGTAGAGCGGCGTCGACTCTATCACGTATCGTTATTGTCGTTGTGTTACATCCGGTAGGAAAAGCGTGACGAACTGGAGCGCACTACTGATTTCCGTTTTATCCCATTTCAGTTCGTCGTTTTTTGCCCATAATTAGATAAAACAAAAAACGTTTGTTTCCGTGAATGTTCACTTCTCACTGGTGCCTTCTGTCTCTTCATCGTCTTGCTCGTCCTCATCATCATCTTCTTCTTCGTCGTCTGTTTCCGTAACTAAGAGAGAATAAATGTTGACTTTAATAACTCAGTATTATAAATTTAAAATGATATTTAGGACTTAGTCCACAGCTTTTTACCATTTTGATTAAGACAACTGATCGTCTGCTAAACGATATTTATTCAGATTCACTATATATATACATATATATATATATATATATATTTTTTTTTTTTGGCGAAATAACGCGGATACTAAATATGGTCAATCGTTATGTACTAGCTGCGTAAGTAAGGAGGGGGCTAATCGTCATGTCATAATCGGTTTAACCATCAGTAGGATATCGTTGATAAAGTCTCCATTCACATGACGGAAGGTAAGTCTTATGTTAACCTCTTTGCTTTTGTTTTTTGAGTAAACACTCAAAAATCAGGAAAAATGTGTATCCTATTTCCTTAATTGTAAAAAAGGTCAGTGCGCGTGACTTATTGGCCTTTGGACGTGATTTTACAGAGAAGAATTTTTTTTGTAACTATACTCTCTGAATCGATATCATAATAGATATATTATTATCATTATTTGATTTTGGTGACGACGAGTTACAACTTTGAAGACGTCATTATATTACAATATGACTTACAATAAGTCATGAAATGAATGAAAGCTTACAAGAGCAAAGAGAAAGAGATTAAAATATAACGGTGGTTGCTCGACTGATTATGATTTCATTTATCTTACCTGTTCGTTTTGGGATGTGATAATAATCTGGAGGCTGAAACGGTGTAGGACCAGTACACAAACAGGCGATCGAAAAGGCGATCGCTTGCAATCTTTCCGTCTCAGATTTGTCTGCGAGTAGCTCCTCGACTTTAGGATCCAAAAAACTTTCCATGTTAGCTTTTGTTGAGTTACTGAAAGGTCGAGAATATTTCTTGATCAGGTCAGTTCGTCTTGTCAGGCCAGTCTCAGTGTAAATAATGAACAACGAACTCAACGGATATTTATAAGCTCGAAAATTACGATCCACGTCTAAAAAAGGATATTATTTGTGCCGCAGAGCATGTACCACTTACAGGAAGCATATTAAAAAATCACACCCCAAGATTTTACACCCACGTAATTTTTTCACCGAATTTGGTCCTTTTTCTGGTGGTGTATTTAATCATGCTATGGTGTCCCCAGCGGAACTAGAACCCATGATCAGAGGCTGGTTTTGGTTTTATTTTTTGAAAGAGCTTGTACCTACTAATATGATGTAACTGATATAAGTGGTACTCATACCAAGAAAGCATTTTTATAGAGAGGCCTCAGAAATGTCATGTGACTGTACCTAAGTGCGACTTTCAGCGAAATACAGACAACGGAGGATATTTCCGTTTAGTAGTTAATCTTAAAAGAATAATAATATTTGAAATTAAAAATTTTGCGATATTTTTCTGACAATCTTTTATGGAGATCATGACAACTCTCCCTTCCCTCCCCCCTTCTCCTACGCAAGCTACGTCGCGTTGCTAACACCAAACAGAACAACCCTAACGGCGGGCTAACATCATGCTAACTGTTAGTGTTGTTTTTTGTTGTTTATGTTTTTTCGGAAATTACCTACCTTTTCTCCTTATTTTACTCAGATGTCACTGAACAGTGCGTTAGTCCAAATTATTTCACAAGCTAAGAAACTTTGGCCAAAAAAGACTGTTCTTTTTTAAACATAACAAATAAAAAATGAAAATGAAATAAAATATTCCAAGGCCACTTTGACGGAACTTGATGACCCAGTAGAAAAGGGCTTTTCCCTAAAAACCCAAATCATCGACTCAGAAACCACAAAACATCTTAGCTTTGTTTTCGAAAATCGTAGGAGGGGGACTATATCTGTGATCTATTGTATAATTCCCAGGGATGTTGGTTCTGGTATTTAGATCAAAACAACCAGCATGTTCTAAAGCGTGGTTTTTATTCGGTGACATGACTGCATTTTTCCTGTCCTGATATTGAAACGTTAAAGAAATGAGATTTAATGCATTCCCTGTTTTTAAAGTTGCAAAATATTTCTGAAACTAATGCGTGACAAATTCGTCGTCTAGTTTCTCATTTAAAGTAATTTTAAACAGCAAATTCGTCTTTTTTGAAATATTTTATCTTCCGGTTTCCTTTGTTTTTGTTAAACGGTTCTTGTTTTTTAAGCGGGGAATGAAAACCTTGTATAAAAGTTTCTTTTCATAGATGCTACGTAATGTCACGCTTTTCAATAGAGCTTCCAAGATACTATTTACCCATCCTCGCAACCCACGCACCTGCTGTCAAGGTCATTCAATGTCGTAACCGCTAAGTCTGCTTGCTTGGTGTATATTTGCTTTACCGAAGTTATGATTAATATTGCCAATACAATCTAGCCTTGCCACCTTCTAGGGCATCTTTTCTACGGGAAAAATATTGCCCACGTCTAAAAAAATTTTCGAAAGTTTATTTGACCTTACTCATCGCGTGACTCTACCAGCGGTATTCCATCGTAATCCAATGCGCGAAAACTTCCAACATGGCGGCCAAAGAGAAGCTTTGTCATCAATTTCTCATGCTGTTTTCGCGCCGCAGCATTCAATCAGACAAGATTCAGAGAACGAGAGAATTTAGTATAACTTTCCTGATATAGATGTATCTCCGAAACTGAAATCTGTTTAAGAAATGGGAGTAAAAGGCCTTTGGCAGCTTTTACAGAGTGTTGGGCGACCCGTTACTCTGGAATCTCTCGAGAACAAAATTCTTGGAGTGGGTATCCTTTAATGCAGATATATTTTTTGATGACTTAAGCTTTATTTACATTTTCCCTGTATGTATTAACTGAAACGTCTTTTAGGCGAGGGAAAACCCCCAATCGTTCCAAACACCACGGAGGGAAAATCCCATTTAGTATGTAAGCTTATAACAAATTATCAGATCGAGTCACAGATTCTCAGATTGGCAAAATAAAGAAACTGGTAGTCGTAAGTCTGTCCAGATTGATTAAATTTAACAATTCTGGCTTAATTTTGTTATTAACCCACAGGTTTTAAGTGTAATACAATGGTATTAAAACCCAGCAAATTTGATGTTACAATGGTGTTGTACTGGCACAGACCTAATCAGACAACTGAAAAATAACAATCGAGTAATTATGTCTTTTTTGAAGTAATGAGTTCTTTTGTGTTAGCCTACCTCACAAGTAACCCCTTCAAGTAACAGACTAAAGCAGAGGCCTGTTTAGTTTGGTCTGTGGCAAAGGTTATTTTGTGCTGGTACATAAAAAAAAAATGGCATTGTCACTAAGATTTCAAGTTGCCTGGTAAATATAACAAGCAGGCAAGGAATCAAACAGCTAGGGAGTTCTTTTGGTTCTATTTTTCTTCTATTTTTCAATGAAAGTAGCCAGGGGCCACATTCATAGTAGCTGGAGGAAATCCCTGGCCCCCGGCTCTCAGGAAAACCCTGAAAACCATTATTATTATTTTTTTAAATGTAAGGGGATTAAACATGGGACTAGCCAATGTTTCTAAGCTTTACACAAATAGCCACTCCCTGCCCCTGCCCCCCCTCAAAAAAAGGAAAAGATGTTATGATAATAATAATACAATCAACACTAAGAAAGATAGATAAAATTAACAAAATAAAGAATAAAAAAGGTCTTTTTTTGAGAATGTTATATAATCATAACATGGTATGCTGTAAGCTTTGAGTGTCATAATTCTTAACATGTGATAGATGCCAGTTTGATACTGAATCAGTCTGTAAAGGGATTGCGTGACAAGCATGGAAATCCAGTATACAATGCACATCTGGTTGGGTTATTTCATAGAGTCTGCAAGCTTTTATATTACAGGATTAAACCAGTCTTCGTGTTCGATGGTGGAGTGCCACATCTCAAGAAAAAGACCCTGGTAAATATCAATAATGCAGTGCTAATCACCTCTTTGTTGCTTGATCAAAGTGTCAAAAAAAGTAATGAAGGGGTTAACTACAGTGGTGTGTCAGTAAAGGAATGAGACTCAAATTTTTTGGTGTGATTTTATAAAGACAAAGTAACCTAGCGACAACAAATGATTCAAAAGCAGTTGTTAGAAGCTCCTTCATCAGAGCAAATCAAAAATGATTTTGCATTGGGTGTGGTTTATGCAGTTGCTATGCTGTTGATGGTAACATTACCAAGAGAAGGAATAGTTGAATGAAATCAAGAGGTTAATGTTCTATTCTAATTTTTATAAAATCTTGAGCAGCTATTTTCAATGAGTCTTTCTAACTCATCAGGACTGCAATATTTCTTCATATCCCTTTCCAATATAATATATCCTGAATTTAAGGCAGAGTTTTTTTTGACAATGATATTTTGCTTCCCAGGCAGCAAGAAAGGAAAGGCATTTGAAAGCTGTACATGGGTCTAACAAAGCTGCAGAAAGAATTGTCAAGAACTACCTGAAAGCCAAAGCTCTGGAAACTGTCACCGGACGTAAAAGGTATTCTAACCCTCTCTCAACCAGCTTAGACCTCTGCACTGTTGTTTCATTTTTTCATGTGGATAATTTGCAACTGTTCCACAGTATCTTCTTTGCCATGCCACCTACTATTAAACTTGCCTTGCATACTTCCTTCAAAAAATTTATTGTCTCCTCATTATGAGTTCATATTCCTTGCAAAATTTTCTGCACTTGATAGTTGTCATATTGGGAAAGTTATTTTATAATAATATATCATAATTTATCATTTGCTTTTATTTTAGCAAAACTACTATAAGAAGTAGGAGTCCAAGAGAGCCGGATGTGTTTGAACTACCAGCAATACCCTCAACAACAACTGCTAGTGCACAGGATAAAAGGTTTGGAATTTTTGGGACCTTTGATATCTCCTTGCTTTAATGCGTGGTCAAACATGAGGCAGCTAACCTACGTGAAAAAAATATATGTTTAATGACATTTGGAAATACTTGCCGACCAGTGAACTAGTTAAGGTGAATACATACTAGGCCCTGACTTTTCTGTCTTGCTGTCACTGGGCTATCTGAGGGTGCTTTCATCATTTTCTGCACCTTTTTCCAAAAATTTGCCATATTCCTCCATGGATTGCTTGTTGGCTTAAACCACCATCTGACCGCAGCCTCTAGAAATCCCCATTTGTCTTCTTACTTTCCTTTAAAATTTTTGGTCTTTAAGACCCCCTCCCCCTCAAAAATGTTGTTGACCCAGGCTCCACTGGCTGGGTGAAGATGCTTTCTGGAACCACTCAATTAGTAGAGTTCTTTGCAGAGTTCAGCAAAATAAGCCAAACAGAGATTTCATCACAATTTATTGCCGAAAATCATACATGTACTACTATCCTGACAGCTATAGTATTTTTAGAATTCTTACACTCTACATGTCTGTAAATGTATTACTGTTAGCACAGCTTGTTTTCTCATGTGGTGGTTTTATTAAACACAGCTCTTCAGAAGATGAGGATTTGGAACTTCCGTTACTGGATCAATTCCGTAACCAACAGTTAGAGGTAAGAGTGATCAAAGAAAAAGCACCAAAGTATTTACCCATTATTCCTATATAGTAAATGCCATTTCTTCCCTGGGATGTGTGATATTGTTGCAGCCGTGCTGTTAAAATGTGTTGGGCATGATTTTTACGAAAAAAATCTAATATTTTCGTAGTCATCGAAGAGCAAAAATGTAGTGTGAGGGAACAACCGGTACTAGTAGAGTACAGCCCTTCTATTCTACAATAATGTTAAACTTTCCTTCAAATTCAAGATCATTTTGTGAAAGTATTTGTTACTCAGAATATCACAGCCAAACTCCCTTTAAGTTGTGATTGGGCTACAGTTTGAGATATGAACACTGTTTTTTTTTTTTTTTAACAGGAAACTTATCAGGATCCAACCTCTCTAAATGTTGAGTCGGAGGACTTTCAGTCTCTGCCTGCAGAAATTCAACACGAGTTAATTCAAGAGATGAAAGAAGAGAGGAAATTTATGAAGAAAACTGACATGCCAGGGGTATAAAGATTATATTATTATGATTTAAAATCTTTGTTATGTTCCCGGAATTTCATCCTTAACGACACATACTTTTATTAGCCAGTTCATTGTCACATAGCATTTAGAAGTTGCAACTGATACTGTTTCTATCGAAAGTCTTTGAGTACTGCTAGTAGGAAACATTGCAAAATCTATGTCATCAGTTATCAGGGCTGTCACTATATTGTAACTTTAAGTTCCCACTGAATACAACAAGTCAGCAAGGTGTCAAACAGCTAGGAATTTCTTTCATGGTTCTGTTTTTCTTTGCCGTTCCTATGAAAGTAGTTGGAGGCCAAATTCATAGTAACTGGGAAAATTCCAAACCACCAGCCCTTGATGCTAGCCCTAAGTTAGCCATGAATATTGACCCATAGTTTAGTTTCCTATTGGATCCTTGGGTGCAGTCTTTAAGTGTTAAATTTTCTCTGTTTCATGGTACCTTTTTTTACAGGTGTGTTTTTGGTAAGAAATAGCTGTTTTTCATGTCAAATGTTATGGACACTGCTGTACCTATTCATCCTATACAATAAATTCATTGTTATTGTATCATATCGATGTGTTTTATGAGTGCGAGTTTAGAGCATAAATAAGTTATCTTTGGTACACAGTTTAGAAAATAACCTTTTTTTACAGGTGTGGTTTTGGTAAGAAATAAATCAACAACAAATCATATTGCTCTTATTATAGAGTGTTTTCACATGACGTCATAGTGGCCATATTGGGGTCACAAAACTATGAAATGTCGGCTATGTTGTTTTCCTGTGAGAGTTGAACTCCTTCTTTTCTTATGCAAATGCTTTCTTTTGGTCTAATAAAATTTGCATAGATGCTGGGCACGTGGGTGAAAACACTCTATTAAGCAAAAACTACAACCTTTATTTCAAAAAGGATGACAATTTGACAACATACTGCAACTGGCAGGAGTTATGTTAAATTATTCAGGCCTGTGCTCTTATAAAAATTGACGGGAGCTAAGTGCTCTGCAGGGTTCTCAACTATGATTTTTATGAGAAAACCAATACTTTGTAGTTGCCCAGTAAAAAAAGTTAAGCAGCAGAGGCAACCAGGTACTGCCAGAACACAGCCTTGTTTTTTCAAATACAGTATTTTAAAAATGCACATTTCTTTTTTTCAGCAAGCAGGCAACTTTTCCTCCTTTCAATTGGAGGGTGTGCTAAAACGAGGTAAACTAAATCAGCGACTGGATGAACTTCGTAAAGAAATGAATAACAGAAACTCAGGAGAACTGGCTGGAGTCGCTCCTCAGGATTCAGTTGACAAAAACGCTGCAGTTAAATCCCAAAAGATTTTGTCTGAAGACTCGGCTCATTACATTTTGATCAAGAATAATGAACAGGAACCAGAAAAAGACAACCAGGAAGCTGGTAAGGGAAGATCTTGTATGCAGTTGATTTTAAGGATTTCATATTTTTTAACCTTTGAGGTTGATTACTTTTCCAGCTTTTTCTCAGACACATTCTGTATTTTGTTTCTTCTCTCCTTAACTATGGTCGTTGGACTATGTAACAGTCAAAATCGTAGAAGCTGAGGCTTGCATAGATTGTCAACTTCTTCCCACTATTAATTTCCAGCTGTACAGTGTATTATTATGAAGTTTACATTCTATGTATAACTGAACAAGCATGTGATCATTGTATTGAGATGAACGCATCTTAGAATGACCTCTGTGTACCAAAATCTATCTCCTTTTTGAAGCACATTTTAATATTTTTCTTCACTTCTAGCAGAGTCTACTTTCGATTTATTATTGTTGACAGAAATAAACTAGACTCATGCTCTGAGATGCAACACTGTTTGATATAAATGCTATTCACTACCTACTGTCTCTTACCAATGATGAAAGGAAAATTGACCCTGCAAGTTCAGAAACTTTATAATTATGGGAAATTATGAGACACACAGAATATAAGGAACTATTGAAATTTTTCTCAGGATCCACATCAAAAGATTTCTCTGGCGAGGGAGGATTTTTCCGTGAAAATCAGGAAGTTGAAGTAGTTAGCTGGGCAAATCCACGACCCAAACAGTCCGTGCCACCAAATGTTCCCAGTTTTGATATTCCAGAGTTCTTCTCAAGTGACTCGGAAATTCTGTCCCCTCTCGTGGATGTCGCAGAAGCTGGTGTTTCGCCCACGAGTCTTCGAGCGAAGGAAAGTACTTTTAGTTTTTCTTCAGTTGAAGATCAAAAGCAGCTTGGGAGAACGTCGATAAATGCGGCTGATAAAGTGAGTGATACAGTTGTGAATCAAGAACAGACTGTCCCAGACAGAAAGATAGAAAGAGGTATGCCTGGTCAAGTTACAGAAGGGATCTCGACATCAGGTGATAACGACGAAACCCTTCTTACGCAGATTATAGACAAGAAAAAAGAACTTGATGATCTTATACAAAAGTGGGAAAACTCTAAAAAACAGAAAGCCATTATGGATTTAACTGGCGGTGCACAGGACGGGCATAAAATTGCAGAGAAAAGAGACCTTCCATGTTCCAGCTCAGCTAAGATGGACCCTGGCAGGTCCTTAGAAACAGACCAAGTTTGTAGTAATAATTATTCGGAAGAAACAAAAAACAGTAGGTCATCTTCAGTTATTGGAGATCAGCCACTCGTGCAAGACAAACCTGTTACGTTGAAAACAGTTTGTATTGATGAAAGTGATTCTGAGGTTGAGGAAGTTACGAAGTTAATCAAAGATAAAGATGAAAAAGTTCAGAGTAAAAGAAGTGGGAATATTACACTGGTGAATTTAATAGACGTTAATGATGAATTGCAAGTTGAAGAAAACGTGGAGGAGGGCGATGGAGGTGAGAAATAATTATCTTGTCTTTGTTTACAATGATGCTATAACAATGTGACTCTGTTCGCTTCAGTTGTTTGTGTTGTCGGCGTAAATTTAAGACAAAAACTTAACCACGGGTATCTGGGATCTTAGAGATTCAGAAGTGATAACCACCTTAGCCTGAACAGCATAATAAACAGTACCACAGGAAAGCACTGCTTTCATTTCAATAGTCACAGTTCCCGGCGGAAACTCGAACGTTAGATCCCTTATTCACAGCATAGCAAACGATACTTTAGAGTTTTATCCAGAGACTTAAGCAGGTAGGTCATAGCTAGATTACGGAGTGAAGAGTGATGTAAACTGAAATACAGTGCTGACTTTTTCTTCCAGCTAATTCTAAAGCGACCGTTGTTAACGAGGAAGATGTGAAGGAACCCGATGAAGGGGAAATGGAAATCGAGGCTAAATCGAGTAGCATTGTAATGGTAACTGCGTCCCCAGAAAGAAGCACAGCTGATATAGACGAAGACCATTCTTCGCCGGACGCCACTGAAAGGCCAGTTTTGGAGAGTGACGAATTCTTGGACGAAAGTAAAGGTGGTATGCCTGTGGATGAACAAGAGGCGGGACCTTCTGGGCTCCCTGTGGAATGGCAAGGGGCTTCAATGGTAAGTTAATTCTCTACTTTAGAAACGAGAAACTTATAGCGAGTTAACTTTCGCAAAAACTTCTGAAACTGTTGCTATGGAGAGGGGAAATTGGCCAATGGTTAACCTGCGCGTCCCCAGTAACGATCCCACAATCAATTGCGCGATATATCTCGGCTCCAGTTCCCCTCTCGTTTCAAGCTTTTTTCAGTCTTTTTAGTGTCAATCACCTATGATTCATTCTCTTCAGGAAGGCTTGGAAGAGATTCAGCAGAACATTGAAGCTGAGCAACAGACGTTGGCGACGGAACAAGCTCGACAGAACCGAGTGGCAGCATCAGTGTCGAATGAGATGTTCACGGAGTGTCAGGTAATTAAAAAGCAAGAAGAAAGGCAAGAAAATCTTTCTTTAATGATGTGTAAGACACGCCAAAAAAACACAATTCCTTGATTCGTTCTGACGCAGGTTGAGAGCTCGAATGTCAGACTTGAAGAATCTTCCGTTTATAAAAAAAAACTGTCAAGGATTTCTATTGGCCGACGTAAAACCAAGTGTCTACCTCTCCCACATCTCTCTAATGGACTCGAGTAATACAGCCAATTTCTCACTGCTGCTTTAAGATTTAACTTAGAAGTTTTGTTCGGTTCATTTGTCGGTATTTTTTTTGCGAGACTGAGACACCGTTCACGACATTTTTGTCAAGTGCTCCGGTAACGCTTGCACCAGTTTGTATCTAGTAATATGACAAAGTTACAACTCTAGGTTGCGCATGGGGCTTTACATTTAATCTATTCTCAGTACTGTTTCTTTTGAGTCCGCCATTCAATTGATATTTTCTCGTTTTCCCCTCCCTCCAAATCAGGAGCTACTTCAGTTGTTTGGTGTCCCGTATCTTGTAAGCCCGATGGAGGCCGAAGCGCAGTGTGCCATGTTAGATGCCTTGGGTTTGACTGAAGGTTCCATCACAGACGACAGTGATATCTTCTTGTTTGGAGGGACGCGGGTTTATAAGAATATCTTCAATCAGAAGGAATACGCTAAGCTGTACGAAAGCGATACGGTGCAGAAAAATCTTGGTTAGTGTCCAACGCCAGTACACTCTTTGTATTTGTTTAAAATCAACTCCTTACAAACGATTTAAAATCTTATATGTTCTACCGTCTTTTTCTTGCAGCAATGAACCGTTTAAAACTGATCTGCCTTGCTTTCATAACCGGAAGTGACTACACTGAAGGAATACAAGGTATGCTGCAACGTACACAATATTTTTAGGACGTATTCTTGTCTTTGCCTAAGTAGACCCTCCAACGACTAGCACTCTTCCTTTTCTCTTACGGTCCGTCAAAAAGTTTATTGATCCGCTCGAGCGCTTCGCAAAAGCTAGTTACATAAGAGAGAGGCCCCAGGAAAGACGGCACAGTTACTCTTAAATAACACCATTCGTCCTTGTTTTGTTTGCAGGTGTGGGGCCAGTTGGAGCAATGGAGATTTTGCATGAGTTTTCTGGTGAAGGCCTTGAAACACTGAGAAAATTCAAGTAGGTTACGACCTTCCGAGAGTCATCCTTTCTTGTTCAATCGAGCAAAAGCTTTGTCCATTATGACTACATTTTTCTTTGACCTGTCGTGTTTTGTAGCGCTTACTTTTAAATAAATATTTTCCTTCATCTTGTTTGCAGAATGTGGCATGACGAAGCGCAAAATCAAACAAAGGCTCCTCAAGAAACCAAAGTCAAAAGAAAAATGGTGGGAGAAGAAGAATACTCTTAATTGCGAAAAAGTAAACAGTGAAATGGTTAAATGAGAGTCGCATGTAAGCGCGTTAAAGCGCGGGAAAAGCACGTACCATTCACGTGCCAACGAATCGCGATTGTTTTGGTTTACTTCTGATTGGTTGAGGGTGTGGCCCGAGACTTTTTCAGCCTATCGCAAGGCGAGCCAAGACAACTCAGACCCGCTATAATATGTCTGTTTTTGTTTTGCAGAGGTCAGTTTCACTACCAAGCGGCTTTCCTTCCGAAGAAGTCTTTGATGCTTATCTCCATCCTGTAGTTGACGAATCAACAGAGACATTTGAATGGGGAAAACCTGATCTGCACTCTCTTAGATTATATCCTTTGCACAATATAAGTAAAAAGGAGTTAATTAAAATATGTTTTAATTAATTTGTTTTATTGTAAACCAATTGTCTTATAATTTGTAGTTAATTAGCTTTGATGAGACCTTGACTTGCACACGTTTGCTCTGGACAAGCTTGGCTGGTCTTCTACTAGGACGGATGAGCTTCTTTTACCTGTGTTAAAACAACTAAACAAGGATCAGGTAAATTTGTCTTATGGACTCTTTTTATCGACATCAGTATTTTTTTTTTTGGAAGATGGAAGAGCTGAGATGACTTACCGTAGTTGATGTTGTGCTCTTTGCATACAACTTCTGTCAAAACCGGCGCTATTTTTTAAAACAAACAAAGATTTCCGCGTATATCGTGGTCAATTCTTTTAGAGAAATCATATTTTGCTATCGCCTCTTAATATATATCCTCAAAAGAGAATTAACTGTTATACAATAATGAGAGTATTTGCCCTTACAGACTTTGTCCCGAGGGTTTGCCCCAAGGGAAGGTTACCGCAAGACGTCTATGACCGGGGTTTTCCCGAGGGTAAGGGTACCGAAAGAAGTATTAATCCCGGGGGTTCTCCCGGAGGAATAGGAACAGCAAGGATTGAACCTTGTATTCTAAAATAATTCGTGATCAACAAACACGTTGTACCGAAGACTTGGAATAATGTTATAACATGATCACGCATAGAGACAAAGGAGGCTTGCCGACAGTCGGTACGAAGCTTTGTAACGAATGTGCGATTGCCTCCTACATTTGTAACAACACACCTAAACCCTCAAAGCGCAAAAGGCAGCTAGTGTTCATAGTCAAAATTTCGTCTGTAGTACGGACCTACAAAGCCGGAATAACGTACATAGGATTACACTCAAAGGATTACATGCATTTCGCTAGTTCCCTCCATATCCCTAGTGAAAATAACCGGAAATGTTCATGGCAAAAGGCTGTTTTTTCTTTCTTTCTTCAGACTCAACTGACGATCACTCAGTTTTTCCGCGTGAATTTCCAAGAAACAAGACACATAAAGAGCAAGCGAATTCGTCGAGTGCTGAATCGTACTTTCAATCCTTCGTATGAAAGCGAGAACGAAACTAATAGTAAACAAAAGAAATCTGCAGATAAAAAGCCAAAGAACAAAACGACGCAATCAAAGGGGAGCGGTAAAAAGAGATCGCATTCAGCGGAAACCAATTCCAAGGAAGAAGAATCAAATGGAAGTAAAGGAACAAGAAGAAAGCGTGCGAAGAAAGAGAATACTGGGGCGTGCTCTTCTACGGGAAACCGCTCTGATAGAGGCTACAGAGGCCGAGGACGCGGGAAAGGGAGACTGCGCAAGAACGTTCAAACTAGTCCCAAAATGGAGTTGTCGATTGAGTTAACTCCTATAAAACTTTCCAACCATGAAAAAGGTTTTAAAACTCGCAAAGGATGTGATGTTTCTCAGATTTCGACATCGGCTGTAAACAGAGGAGACGAAATTCCCAGCACGCAGGAGAATGGCATAATGAAGGAAAATGAAGATTCTGGGAGTTCTACTTTTAAGATCGCTAAAGGGAGCAAAAGCGTTGGTGAACAAGACGCTTCTACTTCTGATAGCACAGAAAGTGAAGAAGAAAACGCTTACCAAGGTCCCCACCCTGTGTCTGTATTTCACCAGGGCAGGGGTAGGGAAAAGGGACCTGCTCCCAGAAGGGGACAGACACGCAAGAACTATGCTGAAAAGGACAGTTCCCCTTCTGATAGCACTGATAGCGAAGACGATGATCAAAATTGTTACGAAGGACGTAAAGACATGTCCTTAATACGTCGGGGGAGAGGTAGAGGAAAGGCACCTGCCCCCAGAAGGGGACAGAAACGCAAGAACTATGCTGAAAAGGACAGTTCTGCTTCTGAGAGCACTGATACCGACGGCGATGATCAAAATTGTTACGAAGGACCTAAAGACGTGTCCTTAACTCTTCGGGGGAGGAGAAGGGGAAAGGGGAAGGGGAGAGGACTGGGGCGAGTAAGAGGAAGATGACGTCAACTTCTCCCTTTGAATCAAGTTCTTATTTATTCACTGCAGTTTGTCGTTTGTACATAAACGTACGTTTTTGAGTGGTTATTTAATTAAGGAAATGAATTAGTGAATCCTGGAATATACTTAGTTGCTCAAAAAAAGCCCTTAATTATATTTATTTTTCCATTCCTGAAACTACGGTATGCAAATGAAGGAGGATACCAGTCGGTTACTTTGTTTAAAAACTACTGTATAGCCTTGGGCAAAATTGTTGGTACACTAACGTAGTTAATATCTCCCGTCCCCCTCTTGAATAAGTTGAAAATCTCTCGTATTTTTAGTTCAGATATCTTTAAACAACAACTGACTGTCCAATTTCCGCTTGATTTCAAACTTCCGCCCAAATTTTTTTCCGATAAGTTTTAGCGAATTGTGTGGATGTAACTGTTCTTCTGGTTTCATAAAGAGATTTATCTGTGTGATAAAACTGATACAATCAATCATCAATCATTTATTTACCCACGTGTCGCCAAGACGCAAGAGCTTGTTTGCAGAAAATATGAACTTGTGAAGATAGTATATACTAGACTTAAACAAGTCTTTATTTATGAAAAATGAACCAAAATAAAGTTATTAAATCAAGGAAAAACGTGCTTTGAATCTCCTTGCTTTAAATTAACCGGCAGGTGTCGTTTATGAAGGGTTATGTGGGGTGCTCCCAAATGATTTGTTTTGAAAAATGAACAAAAATAAAGGTGTTAAACCAAGGAGGAACGTGTTTTGAATCACCTTGTTTTATTAACCGACAGATGTCGTTTATGAAAGGGTATGTGGGATGCTCCAAAATGATTTTGTTCAGTTGCCATCTAAGCACGTCTGAAGATCTCTGCCCACGAGATGAAAGGGTCATAGTCCCTTTGGAAACACTCAAAACAAATGCGCAGAGGCTTTTTACAGATTTAGCCCCATGATGTGGATCGCAGAGATAAAAGTCGGCGGGGTATTTTTTGCGATTTGAAAAATAAACCTGATAACCAAACAAACCAGACGAAAAGGGCGCCCCAAGAATAATATTTTGATCGTAGGCTTCCGTAGAGTCGTGATTAAAGAAGTTATTTACCGTTTCACTCAAATTTATGAGCAATATTTCCGCCTCTTTGGTGGATTGTTTCCACAGCTTGAAAAGCTGTGAGTAACAAACAGAGTTTTTGTACAAAAACTCGAGAATTAGGGAAAACTAACCATGGCAAGCAGATATCTCGACCGAGCCTTAGAGATTTAAAAACACTAAAACAATTGCATACGGGCTGTTTTTTCTTCAGTTTCTCATTGGCTTCGTCGTCTTTGTTTTGTGGAAGAGTTAACGCCTTTTTCGAGGTATTTATTATTTGTTGAAGATGTTCTAGTCCGAAATAATAACCAAAATGACCATAAAAGGCTTTGAATCAAGGTCATTATTATTCATAATGTCAAAGAATCACGTTGAATGTAATATGCAAATATTCAAAATACGAATATTTACACGGGCGATACAGGCTGGGAGAGACTTGCGGACGGTCAGGGCGAAGGATTAACGGGAAAACATACTCAAGGAACGGTTAACAATGCTGTCATATATTCGGCGAGCTCAACGACGAAGAATGTATCAAAGAGCCAACTCGGACAGTGGATGTAGTCCCAACGAACCAGAATCACCAAGTTCGCCGGTAAATTCATCGGCAGCAAACGGACAGAATAGCGAAGGGTTTCACTTTTATGCAACCGTAAAGAAACAAAACTCTCTACCCGAGGTTGGAACGAAAAGTTTACTGCAGAAAACGAGGGCAACTGAAAAACGGGTGGAAAAAATAAATGACGCCGACAGTGTGGATTTGACGAAGAAAGCGACAGGCGAGGAAACAGCGTTTGATCATCCTTAGATAAATCTTTTGAGGGTTCATTCGTTGTAAATGCTCAACGTTGTTTCCAAGTTGTAATGCGTCAAAGGTGGACGAACTCTTGCGAAGTGACGAAGACGATGTGAAAGAAAATTTTTTTCTCATACAGGCTGTGGTTGTGAAAAATGCTAATTGCTTTACCACAAAAGAGAGAATTGCTTGTTAAAGGACCTTTCGAACAATGTACTGATCTACCATAAACAGTGTTTTTGTCGCAAAATGCTTTACTGAGGCGCAAATTGAGTTTGAAAATGTATCAAAAAGACCTCGTAAAATAGGTCATCTTTTGTCTATCGAGCTCGATTTTGTCGCAAAACAAGTCGAAACTTCCTTTTTTGCGTCTGAATTTAAAGTTTTGTCTACGTTAAAGGATATTTAAATAACTTAATGTGTGCCAAAATAGCGATTTTTCTAACGTAATATAGATTTCGGGAGAAAAAACTTCTAATATTTTGTTTAAAAATCCTTGATGAACTTCTGACATGTCGGGAAGCTAAAGAATTTTAAGCTGAACTTTAGGGGGGCAGTGACTTATTTAATTTTACTTCAACGTTAAGAGTTAAATTTAGTGAAGAGTTATTTTCAGAAAGTCGCGTATAGAAAGTATTTCAAAATGATTTATGCTATAAGTAAGTATTTATGAGTGTGATTGCGTTTTTAAAACATGAAGATGAAGAAAAAAGAAATGGCTGTGGTCTTTATTTACCGTATAAAATTACTCGCGATTTTTAACGTTTCTCACGCATTGAAAGCTACCCAGCTGGGCTTTGTGTTCTATTGAATTTTGGATAAAAGCATTTTGTTTTGATGAATAAGATTGAACGTTAATGAAGGGCAGGTTATAAGGCAAAGCAGTCTTTAGTTATTGGCGCATTTCCACACGTACGTTCAAAAATGTTTTTAAAGACATCAAGTAAACTTCACGTTGATTAATGAATTTCAGAGTTCATTTCGGTTTATTTTCTAAGCCTCTTGTTTGTATAACCTTGTGATTCAAGTTTGATTTAAATTCTGTACTCTCTTAGTAATATTTTTTTTTTCACCTGTTTTGCTACATTGAAGCCAAAACTTTTGTTCTTCGAACTTAATCCTCCGAGACAAGACTGCCTAATTCTAATATCAGTGTTTTTTGTTTAAAATTAATCATAAAATTGCATTATATCATATTTTTTCAGCTGGTGACTGAAACCTTCCATACTCGATAAAAAAAATGTAAGTCAAGGAGCAAATGTACTGGAAGACGACGGATTTCCTACCGTAATGTTTCGACCCCCCTTTGTCGTTTCAGCCGTATATATGGGTGCAAGGGAGACTAATCGAAAAGTGAACTCGCAAGGACCTTGCTTTATATTCGATTATAAATAACAGCACCATTTGTATTCTTTAAATTCGCTCTTTTTTGTACCTGTAAATTAAGAACTGACAGTAACTATCGCGGCAGCGCATTTTATTTCTAATGCATTGTGCTTTTGGCTCTTCATCGCGCGATTTTCCCTCGTCAGCTCAGTCTTTTTACATCTAAACAGATGAATTTATGCCCACTGTATGCAAAAGACAAAGTTCCGCTTTTTTTGGTGTTTTGTCGATCCGTCTGAGGCTGTGAAACGGCTCTTTTCATTTCATGCACCTATAAAACACTAAGCAAAGGATGGTGCTTCGCAACTTCTCAAGCGAACGGCTTGTACCGCTAAAAAAATTCTGCTGCAGGAAAGAAAAGCTAAGAAGCTTACATACGAAAGGCCTTATTTAGAATTCCATTCAAAGACTCAAAAGTAAGAACCACCTTGTACAGCATAAGGAAAGTACTGCTCAGTAGCTTTCATTTCAGTAGTACATTCACAGAGTCAAAACTTAGAACCACATTTATGAATTCATTTGAATATCTTAATGAAAGTCAAAATCGCTAATTCAAGAAGCATTGGTAAAAATTTTGCGGACGGTCAGGGCGAAGGATTAACGGGAAAACATACTCAAGGAACGGTTAACAATGCTGTCATATATTCGGCGAGCTCAACGACGAAGAATGTATCAAAGAGCCAACTCGGACAGTGGATGTAGTCCCAACGAACCAGAATCACCAAGTTCGCCGGTAAATTCATCGGCAGCAAACGGACAGAATAGCGAAGGGTTTCACTTTTATGCAACCGTAAAGAAACAAAACTCTCTACCCGAGGTTGGAACGAAAAGTTTACTGCAGAAAACGAGGGCAACTGAAAAACGGGTGGAAAAAATAAATGACGCCGACAGTGTGGATTTGACGAAGAAAGCGACAGGCGAGGAAACAGCGTTTGATCATCCTTAGATAAATCTTTTGAGGGTTCATTCGTTGTAAATGCTCAACGTTGTTTCCAAGTTGTAATGCGTCAAAGGTGGACGAACTCTTGCGAAGTGACGAAGACGATGTGAAAGAAAATTTTTTTCTCATACAGGCTGTGGTTGTGAAAAATGCTAATTGCTTTACCACAAAAGAGAGAATTGCTTGTTAAAGGACCTTTCGAACAATGTACTGATCTACCATAAACAGTGTTTTTGTCGCAAAATGCTTTACTGAGGCGCAAATTGAGTTTGAAAATGTATCAAAAAGACCTCGTAAAATAGGTCATCTTTTGTCTATCGAGCTCGATTTTGTCGCAAAACAAGTCGAAACTTCCTTTTTTGCGTCTGAATTTAAAGTTTTGTCTACGTTAAAGGATATTTAAATAACTTAATGTGTGCCAAAATAGCGATTTTTCTAACGTAATATAGATTTCGGGAGAAAAAACTTCTAATATTTTGTTTAAAAATCCTTGATGAACTTCTGACATGTCGGGAAGCTAAAGAATTTTAAGCTGAACTTTAGGGGGGCAGTGACTTATTTAATTTTACTTCAACGTTAAGAGTTAAATTTAGTGAAGAGTTATTTTCAGAAAGTCGCGTATAGAAAGTATTTCAAAATGATTTATGCTATAAGTAAGTATTTATGAGTGTGATTGCGTTTTTAAAACATGAAGATGAAGAAAAAAGAAATGGCTGTGGTCTTTATTTACCGTATAAAATTACTCGCGATTTTTAACGTTTCTCACGCATTGAAAGCTACCCAGCTGGGCTTTGTGTTCTATTGAATTTTGGATAAAAGCATTTTGTTTTGATGAATAAGATTGAACGTTAATGAAGGGCAGGTTATAAGGCAAAGCAGTCTTTAGTTATTGGCGCATTTCCACACGTACGTTCAAAAATGTTTTTAAAGACATCAAGTAAACTTCACGTTGATTAATGAATTTCAGACTTCATTTCGGTTTATTTTCTAAGCCTCTTGTTTGTATAACCTTGTGATTCAAGTTTGATTTAAATTCTGTACTCTCTCAGTAATTTTTTTTTTCACCTGTTTTACTACATTGAAGCCAAAACTTTTGTTCTTCGAACTTAATCCTCCAAGACAAGACTGCCTAATTCTAATATCAGTGTTTTTTGTTTAAAATTAATCATAAAATTGCATTATATCATATTTGTGCAGCTAGTGACTGAAACCTTCCATACTCGATAAAAAAATAATCTAAGTCAAGGAGCACGGGGTACTGGAAGACGACGGATTTTCTACCGTAATGTTTCGACTCCCCTTTGTTGTTTCAGCCGGACGCCTTGCTTCATATTCGATTATAAATAAGAGCACCATTTGTATCCTTTAAATCCGCTTTTTTTTGTACCTGTAAATTAAGTACTGACAGTAACTATCGCAGCGCATTTCATTTCTAATGCATTGTGCTTTTGACTCTTCATAGTACGATCATTTTCCCTCGCCAGCTCAGTCTTTTTACATCTCCCACTGTATGCGAAAGACAAAGTTCCGCTTTTTTTGGTGTTTTGTCGATCCGTCTGAGGCTGTGAAACGGCTCTTTTTATTTCATGCACGTATAAAACACTACGCAAAGGATGATGCTTCGCAACTTCTCAAGCGAACGGCTTGTACCGCTAAAAAAATTGTGCTGCAGGAAAGAAAAGCTCAGAAGCTTACACACGAAAGCCCTTATTTAGGATTCCATCCAAAGACTCAAAAGTTAGAACCACTTTGTACAGCATAATGAAAGTACTGCTCAGTAGCTTTCATTTCAGTAGTACATTCACAGAGTCAAAACTTAGAACCACATTTATGAATTCATTTGAATATCTTAATGAAAGTCAAAATCGCTAATTCAAGAAGCATTGGTAAAAATATGCATGTTATATCAGACGAACTCTGGCGCAAAATATACAAACCATTAACCGGACTAGACTGAAAAATACTGAAGACAATACCAAATGCGTGGAAATCATTTTCCTGATTAAGAAGTAACATTAATCCGTTTCTCTTAGTGAAGAAAGCTTTGTTTAGTGCATGGTATGTGTTTGTGGAGACCATAATGGCTAAATGTGTTTATAGTGCCATCTTAAACAAGGAAACCTGTCACTCCTTTGAACACAAATTAGTCCTTAACTTTTATCTTGCGGGGGTCAATCTTGCTGTCTGTATCAATTTGAAATGTTTCACTAGAAAACATATTCACGTAAAAAGACGAAAAAGTCTCACTGTCTGGACTCAAAAGCTATTTCTGAAAAATTGTCTCAAAATTCAGCCTCGTTAAAAGAAAGTCTGAAAATGCTTCCGCAATAAAATTTAGAAAATTGTCGCTTAATTTAGCACACCCACAGGCGGAAAACGTATAATCGTTCGAAATTTTACTTGAATTTGAGCAGAAAGCCAGCGAATATATGGCACTTGCATATGTACTGGAGTTGAAACAGTTGAGTTAGTTAGGAGGTCTGTTATTCAGTGTATACAACAAGAAACAATATGTTTCAATATATTTAGATAGTTATGAGTATTATGTTTCTGACACGAAAGAGATAACTTGAGGCCTGAGTAGTCACGTTCGCTTTGATAAGGTTGTTTAATCTCTCAAGTTTAGAGGGGTCATTTGTCATATACATCCGACTTTAAAACAACTTAATCCTTAAGTTTGCTATTA